GACACTTTTGCCGGTTTAAATGATGCTAGACTAAAGAGTTTGAAGATTTTTGTAGATAGTGATGGGTTATATCGATTAGAAAGTCCGTTATATAATAAAAATGACAGTTATTCATTTCGTTGTCCTATAGTTTTAAGTTCAGAACATGTTCTTACAATTCGTTTAATTACGTTTGAACATAAAAGAAATTGTCATGCTGGTGTACAAACTCTTTTGAACATAATTAGAGAGAAGTACTGGATTTTGAAAGGAAGAAAAGCTGTAAGATCGGTAGTAGACAAGTGCACTGTCTGTAAGAGATTTAAAGCGAGAAGTTATGATGAATTGTCACCTGCCTTACCACAGAATAGAACTGACACAAACATGGGTGTATTTAGGATTATCGGTATTGATTATGCAGGGCCACTCTATTTAAAGGATAACAGGAAGGCTTGGATTTGCTTAATAACTTGTGCGGTTTACAGAGCAGTACACTTAGAATTAGTCTGTTCGCTCTCTGCTGAGGAATTTCTTCCAGCGTTTCGACGTTTTGTGGCGCGGAGAGGGACGCCCAAAGTCATTTACAGTGATAATGCAACAAATTTTACCTTGGCCAGTAAAATAATAAAGGCTGAATGGAAATTTAACCCTCCTAGTGCTGCATGGTGGGGAGGATTTTTCGAAAGATTAGTCGGAGTGGTCAAGAGTGTATTAAAGAAAACTTTAGGTACAGCCAGATTGGATTACATTCAATTAATGACAGTGTTGTGTGAATGCGAATCTATAGTCAATTCTCGGCCTATAACGTATGTGAATGATAATCCGAATGAACCAAGGCCTTTGACACCATCTATGTTTTTAATCGAGTCTTCTGAAGGTGACACTGGTACAATATTGCTATCTGACGATATAGAATCTTGTGCTAAAGATTTAGGGAAACAGTATCGACATTTGAAAAAGATTCGTTCAGATTTAATTAGGAAATTTAGGGTCGAGTATTTGGGGTTTTTATCACGTCGAAAAAATAAGTTGTTCTCTAAAAAAGAACCTAAAATTGGAGAAGTTGTACTTGTAGGCAACGATACAGATAAGCGTATTCAGTGGCCTCTAGCAGTTATAATGGAGCTGATACACGGTAGGGATGGCAAAATACGACTTGCTAAAGTACGTACTAAAAGAGGCATTTTAGTTAGACCGATTCAAAGATTATATCCATTGGAAGTTATTTATTGATGAGGCAGTTAATGATGGTGAGAGCATCTTCTCTAGTGGGAGGATGTCGAGAGAGGTTTTCTACTAAATACATTTTGTCTTTACTTTAAGGTGATGTTCTATGTCAAGTAGTTGATAGACTTTTGTATTGCTTTGTTTTTGTCTTTTCTCAATGGTTTTTCATGGCACAATACATTTTTTGTGGATTATAAGGTTTTTCATTCTTTTGATTCTCCAACCTTAATAACCGTATCGCAGACAGAGTCCGTTTATCTTCGAGCTCCTCTGAACAACTAATAATAAATAGCATTCTATTTTTCTTATTACTTTTACTCATGCAATAAATACGTGTACAATATAAACATGAGTGTTATTACGCTGCATTTACTCGAATTATTCAAATTTAGGTACTCTAAAATGTCCTATTTAAGTTACAATTAAAACATTGTTTTTCTTCTACATTTTGATGAAATGAAGATACAATTATACAGGGATTTTCTTCTTTTAGTAAATATATTTGGTGATCTTAACCGGATAGTAGGTCAGTTGTATATTATTCGTCATTTGAATATTTTTAATAACGTATAAATGATGAAGTATCATTAACATGCTCCAATAATTATATACCTACTCGTTCCTTTTATACCCGGATATTTGAATGAAGGGTAATCCTAAGATCTCAATAAATTAACGAGGTATTTCTTATAAAACCGCTTTTCATGACCCACTTTGGGATTAAAAAGCTAATGTGTTGATCCAATACGGGGTATCTAACGGTCATTGGGCAAATGATTAGATCATTACGGCTCAGTGGTTTAATTTTAAAATCTATCGCAATCCTTTTTAAAAATAAAGTGATTGATTGGAAATATATTGTTCATTCTATATCTTTCAAAAAGTCTTTGCGTCACTATCACAACTCAGTGTTGATGTAGCGTGATGTTTGTGAATATCTTCAACTGTTAGATTTTTCAATTATAAATTTTACTCCCCCCCCCCTTATGTTAACTATAACGCGTTTTATGAGAATGAAGATGCCTTCTCTCGACGAGATGACAAATAGATTATTTGCAAGGAATTTGAAATGGTCTCAATCTAGAATTTTATCCCTGAAAAGAGGTTTAATATTTTAGTTCATCTATTAGAAAATGAGATAGTTTTAAACCAATTTGAAGATGTTCTTTGAAGAATTTCTCTACTGCGGATTTCATATTTTTATAATAACGAAAGATTCCATTAGAACTGGGAACGATTGTATAAATCACGGAACGTTGAGCTTTTATCGAAGCTTTCGATTCGACTAGGTTTATCTAGTTGATCTCAAAAATGTGCAAGTTTTGTTGTGCAACTGCAAGTTGTGCAACTTGATTATATACCTTTTTGATTACATGCTTGAAGTATTTAGAATATTTCGCTTACACCATAATTCCAGTTATTGCGAAGGTTTATGTTAAATTTAGCATTATCTGTCACGCTGGCTTTAAAATTATCTTTTTAATGCATTGCGCCTCTTTTGCATTATCCTCTTTAATGACATGGTAAAACTTTAACCAGCGAAACTTAGTCGGTTATAAGATAGTTTACAGTTAAAGTTATAACGTCGTCCAGCCGTCCGTCGTTGCCAAATGACAACTCATTATTATTTGCTTCAACGGAAGAAACAAAGTGATATGTCGAATGGATTTCGTTGTTTATTAGGTCTCTTTCTTTTCTGAGTTGGTATAATTTCATTTAGTCAAAAATCATTGCTGCTGATAATAAGGTTGATTTTCTTTTTTCAGTTTATAGTGTATAATATGAATTATATAATTCACTAGCTGTGCCTGTGACTTCGTCCGCGTAGAATAGTGACTTTTTAGGGTTCCGTAACCAAAGGGTAAAACGACAACCCTATTACTAAGACTTCGCTATCTGTCTGTCTGGTGATTTTTTTCACAGATGATGTATTTCTGTTACCGCTTCAACAACAATAAAATAAAATTGATACTTAAGGGGTCTCCCATACAACAAACGTGATTTTTTACTATTACCACCATACGACTGTATCTTACGAAACGTGATAGTTAGACAGTTGAGATTTTCACAGAAGATGTAGTTCTGTTGCCGGTATAACAACAAATACTAAAAAATATAGATAATATAATAAAATAAATATTTATAGGGTTTGTAAAAACTTAAAAAGTCAAATCAATCAAATCAAATATAAAAACACAAGGTTCTATGGCAAAAGCCATCTAGCGATCATAAATACATACAAACTGACAACCACAGACATTATCAATGGTGATTACTTAACAGGGTTCCTACAGAACTGTAGGGCTCCCAAACAACAAACGTGATTCTGTTTGTAAGTTTTTAGTACGGAACCCTTTTGTAAACGAATTCAGTTTAATTATTTCGCAAATAAAACACACGTTCTATTAAAAAAAACCTTTTTTTTTCAATATTTCACGTTATTTAAGTACAAAAAATTTATTAATGTTCAACTAGTTTAGTAGAACCAAATAATCAAAACTTCTGTAGTTTTTACTATTATTTGACTGGGAAAGTAAAAATATATATATATTTCTATTTTAAACATAACTCTAATCAACTACTGAATTAAAGAAAACAATATATTTATCTTATATTCTACTGTTAAACGGCATGCAGCAACGTAAACTATTTGTAGGTACTTAGTTATTTACTACTATACTTATGTCAATCAATTAAAATGTTCCAAATAACATCTTTAATTTAAAAACTTATTTATTGAATTAAAACTGTTATCAACTAACCATGTCTTTAAACGTGACTTATATAACTTTTGTGGTATCAATTTTATTCATTCTGTATTTAATCTATACTTATATTATAAAGCTGAAGAGTTTGTTTGTTTGTTCTCAGGAACTACTAGTTCGAATTGAAAAAATATTTTTGTGTTGAATAGACCATTTATCGAGGAAGGCTTTAGGCTATATAACATCACGCTGCAACTGTTAGGAGTGAAGAAATAATGTAAAACGCGGATGAAGTCGCTAGCGGCCACTATATTAAATATCTTTATTGCCATCACATATGAGTTTCTCTTGTAATTGTCGGTTTTAATAAATGGGAAATGTAAATTAGGAAGTCTGTATTAAAATTACAAATATATTTTTTGCTACAGACAGTTCTAAGTCAAATAACAAGACACACCAGTTTTAATAATACAGTAGCGTCATCTAGCGAAAACAGCTAATTGTAACATGTTATTATTTCGCCAGATTAACAATTAAATTATGTTATTGGAAATACTGCAAATAAAAACGAAAGCTATTTTGTTTTGATGAAAATCGGAAAAAATAATGGCAACAAAAAATAAAATCTCGTTTTAAAAGTACAGCAGCGTCATCTAGAACTCAGTAGAGGCAGCTGAATGTTACATTTTCGTGTACTTAACCAATATAACATATGCTTTTAATATTAATACTAAGATTGTACCGATTAAAAATTACTCAAAACAGCTTAAATCATTTAAAATGATGACACAAATAGAATTGCTTTAAAAGGTAAATGTTCTATATTTGCAACATTTTTCATTACTGCTCCACTCCTATAAGTCTTAACGTGATGTTATATAGCCTTCCTCAATAAGTGGACTTTTCAACACATAAACAATAATTGAAATCGTTCCAGTAGTTCCCGAGATTTTTGAGATCAATCAAAGAAATAAATAAAGTCTTCAACTTTATTATTACTATATAAATTTAAAATAACAGTGGCTTCTAAGAACAAAATAAGATATATGTACAAAGTTATGGGTCTAATTTTGTTTTCGTTTACTCCAGGTGAACCCGTCTATAACTCAGGAGGAGTTAGTGGATTGGTGTCGCGAGCATCGAGTTATTGTAATGGGATACAGTCCGTTCGGTGCTATACTAGGTAAATGAATTTGTAGGAGGAAATTCACAGGTCTATTATTGACCCAACAAGCGGGAGTTTGAACCTCGTAGATGTCTTACAGTCGTAGAATTCACAAAGTAAAGGTTAACACCCAGTTCAACTGGAAGTAAATCAAATAAAACTGTTTTTAAAATTGGTAGCAGTTCTTTTGCGCAGATAACCAAAGATTTGATTAAGACTCAGTATTTTTAACATGCATTTTCAATTGTGAAATAACTTAGATAACATAATTACACTCATTATATTTTAGCTTTCATGAGTATTTATCTCTTTAATTATATATGACTGTAGAATAATTTTAAAAGGATCCATATTAAGGTAAGATATTTTTAGTTTTATCTATTTGAGAGAGTGGGATAGCAGAATTGGTACTGCTGAGCGCAAAAGGTATGATTTTAAAATTACACCTTGACATTCGTAATTATTTTTAGACGTGCTCGTCCGTTATGTAGTTTCTGACACCAACTGTATTATTAATGACGGAGGGTAAAGCACGTCGAGTTAAATTTCAGCATGACACCACACCTTGATTTTATAAAGATATAGAAAATTCATTTTCTTCGTAATTCAACAATTAAGTGATAAAAATGTCAAACTAAATTCTTGCATATTAATATTAAGAAAAACAATATCAACTGTAAACGTGCAAAATACCGACTGGCGTAATCCTGAGTCAGTTCGAGATTTTCTTAATGCAACCAACTTCATTAAAGTTTTTCTTTAGATAGACTTATATGTTTGCGGCAGGTCGAAAAAAGGACGCGCCTCCACCGCACAAAGATGATCCAGTATTGTTACGGATTTCATCAAAGTACAACAAAACTGTGCCGCAAATACTGCTCAGATATCTTGTGAGTGTTCGGAAACAACATTTTCTTTTTATAAAACAAATTTAAAACGAACCGGCCCTAGACAAGCGTTTTTCATTAAGAATATTTTTCAGTATAGCATAGTGAATGCAAAATTGATAAAGGAACAAGTCATCTTAATCGAAAGTTTATTTATTATTTTTTGGGAAACAACAGCATTGAGTTACACATAGAATACAATTCAATTAAGTGGTACAGTGGCCTAGTCAGTTTCTACTGCTAAACAAGTGATAAAGCTAAACATTTTTTTATATTTTCAACGACAAAATAGATATAACAAGACAATAATAAAAAGCTAGAAGTCTTAACATTACAAACATTCATAGCAATCTGTAATTAGGTTTAAATAGTTTAAACTATCTGAAAAATAATATATTTTCTGCTTTATCACTTTTTTAAATTCACATCGTTTAAGATTTAAAATATCAATTTGAAACAATCGTTGTTGACGACAGCCACGTGCCGCAAAAATGTACAGATCGATCGACCAATTATAGCGCCTACATTTGTAGATTTATCGGGGAGCCCATTGGCTGCGTAGGCGCCGTCCGCACGGTGGGGGCGATTCCCCCAACCAGCGCGCGGGCGTAACACGCGCTATGATAGTAGCTAAGTTAGACTTAGACATTAAGTTTAGAATAAGGGTAGGGCCAAAATTATAAATATTTGTAGTCAGTTCGAGTTAAGAAAAGTAGTCAGTTCGTAGTCAGTCATCAGTAAGTGAAGCAGTGAAGTTGTAAGATACCAGTTAAGAAGAAATAGTTGTAAGAAGAATAAATCGTCTTTAGAAGTCAAACCATCTTTGTTTTGCACCTGAACATCATACAGTCCACAGCAAGATATCGAAGTAAAGCACCATCCCCAAGAATCGTTATAATCACAAAATATCAAACTGTAAACATTCATGGTGTTAGTGGTGTTAACAACGAAACGTTTATTATGGTGACAGATATTTTGTGATGTAGTGACAAGAACGGTGTCATAAAGGCTTGTAGTTGAATCGATATTGACTTTTCATAATCAAACTAATATTAGTAGTCTTGTCCTACTAATATAAAACTGAATATTACTTATTCTTGAGTTGAGTTTCATTAGGACCCGATTGCTGTGAAGTAAGGGGGCTGACGCGCGTGCATTTTAATTTGCAGTTTTGCATTGTATTACTGATGGTTACTCGTGTTTTTTTTGGTGCAGTCAACGTTGATGCAAATTCCAAAAGCGGCTTTGCACTGTAGTGTTGATGGTAACTCGTGCTTTATTTTGTGTAGACAACAGTGACGCAAATCCCGAAAGCGAATTTAAACTACTTCCGTTTTTTAGAACAAGTATTTTAAACTGGTCATAATATGCTCATGGTGGGTGGCGTAGTGCGTAAGTACCGAGGCCCGCGATCATTGTTGATAAGCAACTTTCGCAAGGGTCGGTAATGGGGTGGGTGACCAAAAATGATTATCTCAAGCTACTCCGTGCTTCGGAAGGCACGTTAACCCATCAGATTCAATAAATCTGTTAATTTTGTTGAATTATGTCTTGTAGATAGAGTTTAAAATCTGCTGGAGAAATTTGACATATTGTGGTAATCTGACGTGCATGTGTGTACCTGTTAGTTGCAATTTTCCTTTGGACGTCGTAAAGTCCTCGAAATATATTACATAAATTGTAAATAAACCTACAATTTATTATACAGCATAAAATACTGCATATTTATTGTTACTGCATAGTCAGTTTTCTAACATATTTTATTGTTATAAATAACTACTACGCACTTAAATAATTTTTTAAGTTATTAAATCATACGAACGTCAAATAATTAATGAATGAACGCTTTTTTGTACACCACAAAGAAAAACCGAAATACATACAAACATAAATTTCAAATAGTAGGTACCCACAATCGCCAGCCTTATCGCTAAGAAGCAATTTCTTCTAGGTAACAAATTTGATAACGAACTGCAGTTATGTTAAAAATATTTTAAAACATAAAAATATAACAAGTTTAATTATATTCGTTTGAAACAACTCATTTATTCAACAAATATGGAATAGCCAGACAGTTATTTAGAGATGGCCGGCGGCAGTTGGTCTGTAATACTGTTAATTTTATGGAGCAGAGTCGAGGCTGCTTTTAGCCGTAGAATTGTGTAACTCATTGTTTTTAGATTATTTGAACTGTAACAATTTATCTTTGGAATGAATCGAGTTGGATTTCAATTATGATAGTTTTTTGAGAATCAAATTGGTTTTATTTAACTGCCCAAAAAATAAGTGTATTACCTATGTTGAGTGTTGATGTATCTAAGTGAGTTTCATTATTCCAAGATAACTTTTGAAAGACTGAACACATATAATTGTATAGTATCATTAGTAACCTTACATAATCCCGAGAAACACTCATTTTTTTTTATCAAATATTCTATATGGCGGATGTATGATATCGTTTAAAAAATATGAACAGATTTATGTAAATCTCCCGTTTGTATAGTTTCTTGCTCAGTTTGATTTGTATGACACCAATATAAACCTAAATTCTACAAGTAACATTCTTAATTTAATAAAAATAAGACACGAAGGTCGCAAAATTAGCTCGTTGATTATATGTATGATTAAAAATAACCACATTAGGTTATGAAAAAGAATTTTACATACATTACCCATTTATTCAAATTAGCGTTTTACTCCGGATTGAGATAAAATAAGATGAACACTCGCATACAGTTTAATTTGATCTGTTCTAAAAAAAATCCTAAAATTCTCATTAAATCTCGTGTTTGCGTTGTAAGTTATTCAAGGCTATATTAGAGTAATATATATCTGACTATAATTTTTGACATGAATCAGGATACCTTTATGACGTCAGACGTGGCTGTGTGAAGTAGATAACTTTCCTTTAATTAATAAAATAAAAGTATGCACTAAAATGTCAATAATTAAATCAATAGTCACTTACAAGCTTTTAATGAATTTGCCAAGTAGTAGAGAGGAAAACGATTTGTAAGTATAGATCAAAGGTAAATGTGATTCACTTCCCGCTTTTCGAATGAGTTGAAATTTTGCATGCATATGTAATGTAACTACGAGTATGTTGACAATAGGGATGATGACTAATTCTTGTTTGTTTGTCCGTCTGGTAGAGTGTTAAAAAATATTAAACACGTATTTTTTAATTTTTTTCTTTTGGCGTTACATTGAATTGAAATTTCACATGACGTCACGTTAGAGTACGTTTTGTACTCAACTGTGACGTAGCGAGCCCCCACTCTTCAACTTTAATGCCTGTTATCTATACTACTTCTTGTTAAATACAAGTAAAAAAAAAAATACGTATCTTATATTTTTCTATTATCTGACTGACGGACTAAATAGAATTGCATTTTTTTTACCCAGTCATCATCCTTATTGACCTGGTAGATATGTAGCCATGAGACCTATGTGATTAATTAAACGATCCAACCCAAAGACAAGCCGTGCGGTTCTCATTAAAAGAGCGCTAAGAAAGCAGTTAACGCACTGTGAAATTAACACTTACATATATTAACAATTTTGATCTGTAAAACGTTGTTATTATTTACAAGCTTACTCGTATGATTGACATCGTTTGTAGGTGAGCGACACTACTATTTCTTTATCTCTAAAAATGACAAGAAAGAACAACCACCGTATTGTGGTCGAATAATAAATTCATTTTCATTATTTTCTAATTAATTAAGTAACTATATTAATTAATTAAAATACTATATATTAGAATAAAAATTAGACTAAACATCCAATCACAAACAATAGTATATTCAACATTAAAATAATATTGTGTCCCATGACTGCACCAAAAAGGTAACTAGCTCGGCACTTCAGAAACAGACCGACGCCGATTTCAGCTAGACCATATGTATCCATCACACGGACGCAGGGATATATATATGTAGATATTAAGAACTAAAATTGTATATAAATTTTAGATACATAAAATGAAATAAAACAGATATATACCACGATTCAGTTCGTTCGATCTGTTAGATCAGGTCTAAACTTTACGTAATTGCCTTCTCGCTTACTATACCTACTAAAATAAATTAAAGGATATGAAAAACAATGCAATTTGTTCATTTTTAACATTAAGTTTCAAAGTAACATAAAAGAAGAAATTCAACAAAAAGTAGAATTGAGAACAATCTTTGTTGTCAAACGCGATTGATTTGTCAAATGCAAATGGTTTTCATGAATATACAGAGTGATTTAAGAAGAAGGATTATTATATAACTGTTATATAAATAGCCTATGTCAACCTTGTATGATTTAGCTTTCCGTGGGTGAAAGAATTTTTAAAATTGGTCCAGTAGCTTCGGAGCCTATTCAATGCAAAAAAAAAAATCTGTCCTCATCATAATATTAACTATAGATACTTAACCATAGCGGAAAGCTAGTTAAATATATCTTGAATCATTTAATACCGCTTCAAAATCTGCCGTGTAGTTTAAAAAAATCTAAGCGTACAGAGTTTGTTTTATACTAGCGTAGAGTTTGTATTTTACTATGTTTATATTAGAAATTAGTATGGCAGTTTGTATTGACATTTAAATATTTTGTAGGTGAATACTGCTAGTTGTATATGCATAAATTGTCCGTCGTTGAGCTCGGGTGATCCTCAATGGGATTGTGATACAACGATATTTCGATATTCTGTAATCGCGACCGGTTTGGCTTATATTGACATGGGTTCTTTGAATTCATCGCTTCACTAAAAATGTAATAGGTAAACTGATAGCTAGTGGGAATATGGACTGTAAATAAAGACTAATGAATGTATGATAAAAAATAATAAATCACAAATCACAGCAAGCAAAGCGACAAATATATCCGACCTGAGCAAAAACAAAGAGTAATAAAAAAGAATAAAATACAAATATGACATAAACTAATAAAAAAGGATGGCGCTTTCCAGCCAGTCCTACATAAATTATTTGTATAAAATAATTTAAAGTTGTTGTAATAATCGTATCGTGAGTAACTGAAAAATAAATGAAAAGAAATGATATAATGCGAATGATAAGAAGACTCAGGTGGCATCTCGTTTTAATCAAACACAATGTGACATTCAGATTTTATTTATCGATCCCAGTTCTAAGAACACTGGACCATCAATTCACTCTATACAAAGAAAATTTACCAACAAAGCGATGCACAGTTTATAACAAAGTCGTTTCCCGCTATCTGTACGCTGAGATATTTAGAAACTTAACAACGGAAATTAATAAGGTTTTTATTAATTAACAGAGTAATTAAGGAGAAAGCTTTATATTATATATGATACAAGACTAAGCTAATGTATTAATCCTTTTTTTTACAGATAGATAGACAGATAGTACCGATACCCCGGTCTACAAATAAAGGACGTATAGAACAAAACATCGATCTATTTGATTTCAAGCTCACTCCCAATGAAGTAGCAGAATTATCAAGTTTCAATAGCAATTATAGACTTAGAACTCCAGCCAAATGGTATCCACATCCTCATTTCCCGTTCGAAAAGAAGAACCTTACTGAAACAGAAATAAAGTATATTATAGAGCACAGCAAAGAAGATTAAAAACTTGACTATGAAATGCAATAAATATTTATAGAAGATACTGATAGAAAATGAATCTTTATCTTTTTTAGAAATGCGTTAGAATTAATACCGTCTGTTGGCTAATTGTGTAATTTTAAAATCTATCGAAGTCTATTTCAAAGGCTTAGCGATTGTGTTAGTGATTTATGAAATTAGGTTTCTTTTAAAGTCGTTACCACTTTTAGAACGAATGATTATTTGAATGATAAAGAAAAATAATAAAAACTTAGTCAAACTTGTTGAAAGATTGCAATTAGCTTTCAACTTATTCGTTTGACATTTCACAAAAGCTTTCAAACATATTTGCGTCTAACGCTTGGCTTTAAATTCTCATTAATTTCATATTAACGATATCCTTCATTCAATATTTAAAAAAAACACTACTATCGCATTCGCTATCACAAGTCAAACAGTTGTAGCGTGAAGTTCGTGAATATATTTCAATTTTCAAATTGAAAGGGATTGCCATGGATTTTAAAATAAGATAGCTCCCTGATTGAACTGTAAAGTTACAGATACGTTAATTATAACTTTATATGGACTATTATTGATTTATTTTCGTAGTAAATTTTCATATGTAAATTCTATTACTGTATTTTTCTCAGTGAGTTTTATTTATAATCTGAATAAATAAATTACATTATATTGTAGACCAAATTATCAATCACACCACTTTTATTAATATAAAGCCATATGAACTACGACAAGGAAAATCAACCTTTTTTGGTTACCCTGGATATTGTAATGAGCAAATAAACAACTAAAATTGACTACTGTTAAACTATAACATAGGAAGATAAGCAATTAATAAACACATTTGTTTGACTTTATAATACATAATTATAAAGTAATATAACTATAATATAACAGAAGGGGGTAATCAGTAATTCTTGCTCAAGGAGCAAAGCACTGTTTGTCAGACTATGCCCAGAGAACTAGCGCGGTTTCAGGCATACTCCATTTATTAGAAAAAAAAAGACAAGAAAACCCCAGAAGCAGGAGTGCAAAACATTTTATTTTCAAGATAATTTATAATAGTTTTGTAAAAAAATGTAGCAATATTATCATTAAACATGAGTAGTCTAAATGAGCAGGACAATTTCCCTTCTTTACGATACCCAGGTGTTGAGATTTAGCTACCATTAATAGATGGAACAAATACTATCAATCTGGAACAAATACTAGAATTCTGATAAATTCTTATTTAAGTGTAACAAGCTTAGAATGTAGGAAAGACAGGTAAATAAAATTATAATTTTAGTTTTATACCCTTTGTTCAGACATCGGATCATCAAGTTTTTTATTCGAAAAACTTCCAAAAATGCCACAGGGTTAGAATTGGTATAGAAGCTTACTCGCTCTGTCTGCTCCTCGAAACTGACACAGGGCGTGACGAGGTTGGACATCTGTAATAAGAGACCTGTGTGGGTCCTCCCAATCGGACGGATAGGGACTGATAATGCTCGGTTGCGTATCTCCAGTTTCGTCGGGGGCAGTACGACCGGTTTAAAAGTTATGTAATTTTCCACACTTAGATGCCTTTATTGGTTCTTTTTACGTGGCTGTATAACTGAACAGATTAGGTAAAATTTTTAATTTGGTAGAAAAGTAGTGAAATTAGAAATTGCCGAAACTATCCACCCCTGCTTCTTTGGGTTGAGTTTTAAAGCATTTATTTTTGTCAAATACTCATCAATTTCTTTGATAGAATGCTTAAACGATAGCAGTTAAGTATGACTACTGGTAAATTGATTTAAAGTTAATTAGGCATCAATCATATCAATAACATGATTTTGTCACAAAGTACACCCTAGAAAGAACCTTATTTAACTTCAGTCTAATGCTATAATAAATGGAGTATAGTAATTTATTATTCCATAACAAATTATCATCATCGATATACCTATGATATGTTTCTGTCTTCAAAAAGAAAAAAGGAGATAATTATATTCAAATAAAAAATGACTTCTTATTTCAAATTCATTAAATAAAGAAAGGAGACATCAATTTTATACCTGTTTATAATAATGTCTCTCAACATTGAAATAATTTAAGTAAATAATTTCTGCTCAACAACCGTTGGAAATGTTACCCAAAACACGTTCAAATTATTAAATTTTTATATATTTTTTATTACATTACTTAACATGACGTATTGGACATTTTCAAATTATCTGGTTATTATTTAGTTCATAAAAAAGTATACATTTATGTTTATTGCTAAGTTAATTGCTTACCAAATCTATAAAATGAGTAAAAGGATCAACAAAAATATCTGTCTATCTCAAAGACCGAATATACTAATTAAAAAACAAAATCTTCAATAGCAGAACTATTTTTAATATGCGCCCGGCATATTTAAATAAAGTTTTTAAATTGACCAACTTCCTTTGATTCTCGCACTGAATTAAATTATTCTTAATAATATTGGATTTTATTGTTCAGACTGTAATATCTTTTATACACGGAAAATCTGGACATCTAAATAAAGGTAAACAAGACAGGTATTCCTTTAGAGCTTTATCTGAAACGCTAAGTCAAGTAGAGCTTTTGAAATGGTCAGATATTAAGTTGAGACGTGCCTTTTGCCATATCTTTGTTGAGATAAAATGTTTTTACGAATGACAAGGATAATTTTACCTTTATCACTTTGAATGTTGGTAATTTATTAATTGCAGTATTTTGCCTCGTTACTTTGAACTGTTTAACGTTAGTTAAGTTTTAAACTACATGAAGACTTCCGATTAATTAATAATGTTGGGAAATAGTATTTGTGCAATAGTAAAAATAGCATTTTGTTGTTTTAAGCTTTCATTTACATTAAAATTATAGATTTTTACGTGATTGCTAACATGTACCTTGTTTTTATTTAGTTCCCTTTATTTCGGCGCTATTGCAAGCGCCATGATCACGGTACGTGGTAGCAGTCCTATAAAAAATATCATTCTAAAATAAAAATAATAATATTTTTTAATATATATTTTATAATGTAACGCAAAAGTAACGATAAGTGAATAATGTTTCTTCATTTCACCTTGTTTGTAGTGAGAGGATCAACTTCTTCTGTTTGAAATTCTTTTTGAATGAATACTGTTTCGACAAATTCTTTCAGGGGGAAAATCAGGAAAAAAAGACTAAAATTTAAACATGAACATATGGTTGTTACCAGCGCCGGTTCAATGAAATTTGGCGCTCTAGGCAAAATTATTTATACTAAAGCCCGGAAAATTTATTTATTTGTATATTTTTACTATCGTTATTTTGATTATATATTTATATATAAGGCATTATAATGTCTTAATTTTTTCTTTCATAATACCTGGGCATTATGCATTTTGCCCTAATTTATCACTTTGTCCAAAACTTATAGGTGTATGAATTACTTTGAATATAATTTACTTTGTTGTTGTAAAATGAGGTAACAATTCTATATCATTAATAAAAAATTGAAAACTAATAATTTAAATTTTTTATAACACAGCACTGTGCTGCATCAAAATTACACTTGGATTTCCTATATTGACTCAATTCAATTCAATTCAATTTATTCAATGCAAGTCACAGGTCATACAGATGTTATAAATAAATTTTGTACAAGTGACGCCCTGTAAGGGCACAGCAATACTGAGGGGCAACTATTGCCATTTTTACTTGTAAATATAATTGTTCTAGCTAATTATTATTATTACATTTAATAGTTATTTTATTTATATATCCAATATACTTTAAACTCGATTAATACATTTACAATACATTCATTTATTAATTCATTTAATAATTATTTTATTAATTACTTAATTTATAAACCTTAAACATAGTTAATACATTTATTCATATATACTTTTTTTATTATTAAGGCACAATTTGTTGCTTCTCGTTAAGAAACTCTTCAATATTGTACTCGACTAGATTGGCAATCAAACAAAAAATTTTAAAAATTGCGAATCTTAAGCTCCGTAACAGAGAAATTAGTATGTGGCCAACAAATGTATTTTCTTTCTTACAATTACAATTCTTTTCATACAATTACATTTGTTTGATGTTCTCGATACAATAACTCAATATTAATAATAAAATGTGAAAACCAAATCGAAAAAAGGATTTAATCTAAGATGATTCACATTAACGGGATTACATCAATATCATGAAACTTCAAATATTTAATATGATGTGAAAAAAATGCTAAGGAAAGAACGTATTCGATAATTAAATAGCACCCTACGTTATCTCAAAGGAGTTGTGTTAGCCTTTTTAATCTTCTTAGCATTATGTAATTGAATTCTTTTAACCGCGGGTATAAAGGAAAATACCGTAGCTTTATCTAAGCCCTCAGGCTTTAGGATAACCTAATTGATTTGAGCACATTCTTTGTTGCCGTTAGAAGTAAAATGTTAACGTATCTTATATTTTGTCTAACAATCAAATAGACAAACTAGGTGATTGTCTAGGGCGCTAGTATTTGGGTAGGCGACATGGCATAATCTGTTCTCTCTGATTATTTGAATCCATGCAGTATTCTAAAAATTATCTTTTGATTTTTCATACGTGAATTTGGGTAAGATTTTTTGTCGATGGCAAAATTTCACTATTTAATCAGTGTTATTATGCTCAGTAAGTTGCACGTAAGGTGTAAGGATGACTATAAGCTATAACGAATGTTCAAAATTTTAAAATTTGTATCGGTAATTTCTCTAAAACTAATGGACGTTTTAATGGACATTTATGTAACGGACATAAATGCCTATTAAAAATTGTTAAAAAAATGAAAAAGTTAAGTTCGCTTTTTATTTTGTAGTGATTTTTTAACGGGCGTTATTCCAGTGTTTTGCCTAGAGCACTAAGATTCATTGAACTGGCGCTGGTAACGACCACACGTTCGTGTTTCAATTCTAACCTTTTTGTTTGTAGTGACAGGGTAAACATCCTTCTCATCCGTTATCGAAACGAAGACACCGCGGCGGTAACGAAGGCCTTCTTCC